TGGCTTGGACATGTTCTGCGAATGTCGTCCCAGAGAATTCCACGTCGAGCATTATTTGCCGACTCTGGGACTGGTTGGAAGAAGCGGAGAGGTGGTCAGTGCATGACATGGTGTCGTAGTATGAAAGAAAGCTGCAAAAGGCTGGCTTCAGTCGGTCCTTCACGACTGCCTGGCTGTGGTCTGAGAGATGGTGCTACACAGTGGATAGAGACGTTATTAGATATGGCTTAGAATAGAAGCCAGTGGCGATCCTGCTGTAACCTTTTACTTTCTTCATAAAAAGTGGTTGTGTCTCCCTTAACTGAAAGATTTCTTCTGATTGTACCTTTTCGTTCCCTCGTTACTACCACACTACCTTACACCAATCTCTTCGTTATTGTTCTCTTTTTCTTTTGCGCTCCTTAGTTTTTTTTCTACTTCTCTTCGAATTTTCATTGTTTTGTGTGGCGCATATATATTGGCGCTCTCTTGTACCAATATTCATGTGTTCAAATTAATAATCTTTGTTTTGGTTGTGTCTCCCATTGGTTTGATTTTTGTTCCTATATTTATGCATGATTTTCCTGATTGGTTGATAAATTGGATTAGTTTCGATATGTTTGTTGATTGCTGATTGACCTGAGTGCCAGGCTTCTAAAAATTCTCTGGTGTTTTTGGAGTTTCCTCTGTCTAAGATTTCTACATTTTCCCAATCGAATGAGTGTCCGTAGTTATCCACGTGTATCGATATAAGTGAAGAGATATCATGTCGTTTGACTGCTAATTGATATTCATGTAGGCGAAGGTGGAGGGGGCGTCCGCTTTGTCCGATGTAGTGTTTGTCGCAGTTGGTACAATTTATTTTGTAGATGATGTTTGATTTGTTTTCCTTTGTTATTTCATCTTTTGGTTTGCATAGGATTGATTGTAGTGATTTTGTCGGTTTGTGTGCCACACCTATCCCGAAGGTTTTCAGCAGTCTCGTTGAGGTTTCTGATATTCCTTGTATATATGGTAGGGTGATCCTTTTGTTGATTTTTGTGCTTGACTTGGGTTCTGATGCTGCGTGCGGTCGGTATTTTTTGATGAAGTTGATGGGGTAGCCGTTCTTCTGAAATACATCCTTTAGATATTTCTCTTCATTTCTTCGTGCTGCCAGTGTGCTGCAGTGTGTCCTCACCCTCTTTAACAAATTGTGTACGCAGTTGATTTTGTGAGCTCTGGGGTTGTTGCTATTGTAGTTGAGAATTTGATCTGTATGGGTCGGTTTCCTATATACCTGAGTTTCCAGTTTTCCTGTGTCGGTTCTAGTGATCAATACATCCAAGAATGCTAGTTGGTTGTTTGACTCCTGTTCCATGGTGAACTTGATGTCATCGAAGACGTTGTTGATCAGTTTGTAAATGTTTTCCAGATCATTCTTTTTGACGATGACGAAGGTGTCGTCTACATAGCGGATCCAAATTTTTGGCTTGATCACTGGTAATATAGTGGCTTCTAGTCTTTGCATCAGTGCCTCTGCGATCAGTCCTGATACTGGTGATCCCATTGGTGCCCCTTTCGTTTGTTCGTAGATTTTGTTGTTGAGTTGAAAATATGTTGTTGGGCATAAATCGATGAGTTCCAGTAGACTTTGAATTTGAAGCTTCGTGTATTTGGTGAGATTTGTGTCGTTGTTGAGCAGCAGGGATATAGTTTCTTTTGTTAACTGTGGTTCATTTGAGGTGAACAATGCTGTTTCGTCGAAGGATATCATGAGTTCGTCGTTGTTGACTTGAATATTCTTAATTTGGTCCAGGAATTTTGTTGGGGATTTGATGGAGTGGTTGGCTGAATCTACTAGATGTCTCAGTATTCGTGAAATTTCTTTTGACAAATTGTACGTTGGCGTTCCGGGGAGCTCCACGACCAAACCATCCAGCTCAGAGAACAAAACTCCACCAAAATCATCCACCTGAGCTACAAATCCTCCACGATCTGTCACTTTGATATATCTGACTATTTCGATAGTGTAATAAGAAGACGAAGATTATCAGAACTATATGATTTATTAGCACAATACATTTCGAACAATTTGATCACATATAATACACTTCTTAAGAACATTTACATTTAAAAATAGAAGGTCATCTAAACAAATGGAGATGTAAGAGGAGACAAAGATAATAAAGAAAATAATGTGAAAACTCATCATTCTGGATAACGTGCTAATTTTACTAGGGTAGGTTTAGGGTGAGAACAAACTGTTTTTGAATATATGCAGTGGGTTTAAATTTTCGTATGATTAAGGCTTCCATAAACCTCAGTATACTGCTTGCGTTTGAATCCCGCGAGCGGGATTGTGGATAGGCACTGTTGAGGAATCCAATAATAGGACGAAAAGGCCGTCCAGTGCTTCCAGGTTTTCAATGGTTGTCTAATATTAATCACTTCATGATCTCAATCAAAAACCTAATAATTTCCACAACCCTATACTGGCAATTATTTTTGACTGAAACTATTTTTAGTCTTATATTATTGAATTTGATTTCGTTCACTAATCTGTACTAATCATTGTGAATGTAAATCCATAAAGAAATCCATATAGAAATATAGAGTTCAGTTAATTCTTAGTGTATATTCAACGTAATTCTTATCACTACTGCAAGGTTATATGGGCCATTATGTGATTTCTAAATGTAATCTTTGTGTTATGGGTAGTTAAAGTAAATTTCGTTGAATCTAAACCATTTCAAAGAACTCAATTTGTTGTTGTTGTTTTTAAAAATCTTTTATTAATCAATAACTAGTCACCTACATTAGAGAAATTTCCATTTTTTACCAGACATTACACGGTTATTATTTTTGTAATAATGTCAATGAAACTGTTATATTTTTAACATTAACGATTGGTGTCTAGGTTCTTTGTCTTTAAAACCTCAGCAATATTGCTACTTCTATTATTACAAAGTACTTTTTGAATCGAACTGTTAAATATTTGGTTTACTCAATTCACTCATGATCTCAACTGTTGAAATTACTACAATCTCCACGAAACCCCTTCTGATACAAATACATTTATGCTTTGTTTCTCAAATGACTTGAATACTGATGGTGTAAGAAAGAAAGCCTCGACGTTTAATTTTGTATGACGATTAATAAAATGCCGTATTACATATAAGGTACACTATAAGTGAATTAATGATCAATTCATATGACTTGTATAATTATACATATCATCACTTATAAAATACTCAACGTTTACGGCAACACACTTGTTTCATTATTGTTTCCCCAGTGCATGTTATCCTTGGGAGTCTTTAAATGTTAAACTCTTTAGTTGCCTTATCGTTTTACGTTTGATCGGATAATTATACAGACACATAATGCTTCCAAATTCAGTTCATTAATTTTCATCGAAATAAGGATGTTTGGTAGAATATATTCGATATCTTTCACAACAGGTTAATGGTTCTTAAGATCTTGAGATATTTATTTGAAAGTAGTTACTCTCATCGTAGCTTCAGAATTTCATGAAATACTTGGTGATTTTTTCGTAAATTTCACTACAACATTTATGTAATTCAGCTTGGATTGTACGCCTTTGATAATTCTGTTGTTATAAACTCGATTCTCTCCTACAAATTAAACAAACTATAAAGTCAACCACTCAACCTTAAACAGGCCAAAACACTTGTTACCAGTTAATACTGAAAAATGAAAGGGTTTATGAAACTCCGGCGAATAAAAGGTTTAGCCTTCTTTCTTTGGCATCTGACGTTGTAGTTATGTTTATCTTTTTCATACACTAGTAAAGATAGTTCTATGCGTACATAGTTTGTAACTAATACAATCAGCTACCGAAAAAGATATTATGTACTTAAATTATTTCCACTTTGATCATACATTTTGTTTGTATTTAGTGCATCATATTTTCACTCAAAATAACTGATAACATACGTCTTTTTCAAATAATGAGGTCCTAATTTTTCAAATTCGTGCTCGAACTAACATTCTCTGCAAATTGGGAAATATTACGTAACCCTTTTCAGAATATATATGATTCTTTCCAAGGTCATTGATAATTAATTATATGTATAATTATCAATGACCTTTGGAAGGATTGTGGTGTATGCTACTTATGTCGATGTAAATAGTATTATAACATCAATCAGGAATAGAATATCTGGCAGCAGAAACTTGGGAAGTTTGAATCAGAGAGATTGGGGATAGAGAGTAATTATTATTCCAATAAAGGAATAATGAAGACTGAGGTAATTGATAAAGGATTTGTAAATCAAGTATTGAATGTATGTTTTTCACAAATTTATCAAAGAACTCTGTAAGTTTGTAATAAAATATTTTGGTTATCCCCACCTGCTTTCTCGATCACAATGGATTATGTCAAATTATGTAATGTTTATTATTTCATTATAATAACACTTATTTTGATAGTCTAAGGAATAAAAGTTACCATAGTGAAGTAAATAGTTTTAAATCCTTCTATCTGTTATTTGTCTTGTGTTAGTTTAGCTTTGATGAGTAATTTCTATCGAAACTAATGTAAAACACTATGCAACGCTTTTCGGTTTCCAAAAATTCCATATAGTTGACATTTTATATTAAAGAAATATCAGTAGTTGAGATCATGAGTCCGATGAAGTTAGACCACCATCGAAAACCTGGAAGCACTGAGTCAGTTGTGAGATAGGAACTCACTGATGACAATGGTGGATGTGTCGCTCAATCTTGTGGATTAGTTGATGTTAGACATTAACACCGTTGGATGCCGGCTCAGTGGTCTAGTGGTTAGGTATTCACGCGCGAGACTGATAGGCCCTGGGTTCGGATCTTGCATGGGGGATGGGATCGTAGATGCGCTCTGTTGGGAAGTCCCACAATAAGACGAAACGGCTGTTCAGTGATTCTAGGTTTTTGATGGTGGTCTAGCTTCAATTGACTCATGATCTCAACTATTGAAATTACTACAATCTCCCCAAAACCTCTTTTGATACTAGTAAAGAAATAGTCAAGAAAGATATAACAGATTATACTATTCTTATATATGAATTTAATAAGAAAAATAATTATGACAAATAGATTTTGTTCGGAAAACATGATTATCATTTGGGTTTTTTTAAAAATGTAGGTATTTTTCAATAGTCAATAATCGGTTAGTAACAAAAATCCTGAATAAGAATTGATGAAATAATAAATGAAGCTAATTAAGATTGGTTTTTTTATTCTAAAAGTGAAAAAAAGTTCAATTTACGATAATTGTGGTTTGGGTATTGTCTGTATTTTTCTCTTTTACTTTTCGTTTTTGTAATCATTTAATTAATACAAGAACTTCATAATGATGCATTTTTCTTTCTTGACCACCATAAGGGAAATAAGCGCATTCATGACTTTCATGAACCTTTTCAATAAAATTAATTAATATAAGAACATATGAATCTATTATAAATGTTTGTGTTATATAGTTTACATCATAAATTGACCTTAATAAACTAATGATGATTTAAAATCATTAAACAATTATTTCTTCCCTAGTATAGGACTCTTTAAGGACTATGTACAACTGTTAATTAAACTGTATGATTCAAAAGTCTATATAACGTATCCTTACTTATAAGTGTTTTCGTTAGATATGGGATTCACTGATGAGAGCATATTATATAATGGAATATCTGTTTGATATTCATAAATGTGTTTTTTTTTGTATTTGTAAAATACAAAATCACAATTACTGAGTTACTTGTCTTATTAAAGTACTACACGAATGTGCTGGAATATATTCAGAGCCAATCTTAAAGTCAAAAAGTCATAACAAAAACAAGTTCTGTATATTATTTGAAGAAGCTTTATGGTTATTCCAATTGAATGTTAGTGATAATGTGTTTAACTAGAGTACTGAATTAGAATCAGTAAGAATGTATTATCCTTGCTAAGACTACATGTAAACCACTCAGACATGTATCAACCTACAAGAAACTAAAATTCAAGATTTTCTGAATCTAACATCATATAAAGTTCACTTGTGTGATTACATTATAGAGTCGATCAATAAAATTGAACGTAAATCAATAAATAAACCTCATGGTTATATATATTCTCCTGTAATGAATGTGTTTTTTTCTCTCACTCTTCTTATGTGTTTATCATTCGGAGAAAAAGTGTAAATTGAAAACTTCTGAGAATTGAAGAGAAAAAAAGGTTCAAATAATCTGTTTATAATATCAATTTATTGATTATATCATAATGTAATAATCAATAAACTAAGATAATGTACGTGCTACTCATATAAATTGCGATTAATTAATCGATTTGTTATTTTCATGAGAATGATACGTTTGTTTTTGTGATCCTTCTAATATAAACTGATAAGAGTAGCTAATGAAATTATGAACTATGCATTTATTCAATATACCGGATTAGTCATTCGTTCTTTTCTGTTTTACAAACTATGTATATTTATAAATTCATTTGGTGTTGTTTTTATTTGTATCTTCCCAGAGTGATCATCAACTCTGGAATACAGATACATCTAGCTGACGAATCCCAAATAAGATGAAACGCGCGTCCTAGATTCCACTGTTAGCCATTATCCATCAATGCTATGTACATTTATTCTTATAATGAAAAAAGAATAATAAAAAACTACAATGTCGATTTATATGAGAAAATAGATGGATTGTGGTTGACAATGAAAACCAATATGAGAGTTTCATTCTATCTGGGACTAGTGAACTCGATATACCTGAATCTTATTGCTAATATTTACATTAGGATGTATATATATATTACCTTGTTCTACAAACCATTAACGTTTCATTCACTGAGCTATTCAGTTCAGCTAGTTACTAACTTGTTTAAAAGGTATTATACTTAGATCATTATTAGTATGAATTTGATTAGAATTAAGTTATAAGTATTAACAACTAGATAACTTAAATCTCCAATAATGATTATTTATTGTTTTACATTTATAATAGAATAACACATTTATTGCATTATTTTAGAATCATGTATAATATCTCTAGAACAAAGTGACTTACTTTTCCAACTACGCGTTCACCATTAATATATTCTCGAGCTATATAAAGTGGTTCATTAGAAGAAGTGATACCTCCAACAACGGCATATTTAGGAACATATCCATTACTATGTCGTTCCCATTTGTAACTAGGATATTAAAAAAAAACGACAATAGTATTAAAAAAAACTTTAATTGTTATCTGTTGGGGTGATCCGGAAAATTGCTTGCAAAAGACAAGCAAGCATCAGGAAACACTAAGGAGCATTTCATCCAATCAGCGTTCACTTGGAATCTTGGCCAAAAATATCAAGGACGAGGAACGTTACATGCAGAGGCTCTGATTGGTTGGCTGCCATACTGCTACTATGTTTAGTAGCATTCCAGAATCTTCTAGCAACCCGAGGACATTTAAAATATAAAAACCCTGTATTTTCTGTATTAAAATGAATCTTGGAGTAAACTACTTTCCGCATACTTTGAGTCTTCTCTCTCGTGTTCGGGTCGCTGTATAGTTCTAGCTTGGGGATTACAGAATAGCTTAGGAGACGAATATGACGTTCAATCCGCAAGACTTTTCATTATCTAGAACACTGATGTTTGAAGGTGATTACATAATATTTTGACTTGTGTTTTTTGAAAGGAATATTTTCAATTTTGTATTGTTATTATTAAAGATTCGATTTTGTTACAATTTATATTGTTTTATTCTTGGAAAATTGGCTGTTTATAGGGTTACCTGAGAGTTAGGAAGTATCTTTAAAGTGATTAGTTCTATTGAGATATTATTCTACCATTAGGCCTGACAAGTATAAATTTTTATATGTATATAATTAATATTAGGATGTTGAAAGCTGTTGGCAAGAAGTTCTATAAATAAATTTCATATTAGTTAGAAATCGATAATAAGGTTGATCTGTAACTTTGAGGAACTTGGTACTCTTCGTAGGATTAAAAACCATATCACTCAGTATTAAAATTAATAAGGCTATACCATATAGATCTTTAGGCAGAGACTAAATTTCTGAAGGATTGAGATATGAATACTGAGTAGCGACTGATATATCATCCTTGCTTAGTCATTCGTGCTAAACAGTTACTTCCAATGAATTTATAATACAGTCATGAGTCCTATGTTATTAAAAATAAAGTGTACTGCGTCTAAATATTTGATAGTCGTGGAGGGAGGTGTTTAGTCAACAACATTTCAATGTAAAATCAAATATAATCGTTCTTATGATAACATACCACTGTTGGGGACCATGTGGTAATTTTGTATCACATAATACCTCATATGAATCGAATTCATATTCTGTTCCATCATAACTAACATAAGCTTTGCCCAAATGTGGTACAACTTTACCAGGAATTAGATCGCCAGAATGATATATACGAGCAATATAAACAGCATGACCTGCATCAATTGCATTTGATGGCACCCTACCATCTCTTTGATGAATCCAGGATAGACATGATTGAATTCCTTTGCCAATTCTTGCCATCCTTAAAATTTAACTAAAATCAACAAAATATTCACAAATAATTCATTTGTTGAAGATATTTAGTTTATTACTTAGTAAAATATGTTGACTTTGAACCTTTGATAAATACTAATGATTGTTTAATCAAAAGTTATGGTATCATTGAATTCAGACATATTTTAGTTAATTACCATTAGTATGTATTCTGAATGCTTTAAAACAGTATCCATTATTTCGGTGGTATGTATTTATTCGATGATACAACTGTTATGATTCGATTGATACAAACTGTTGATCGATTAAGTTGTATCTATGCAGAATAATATTTCAATGTATTTTATATTTAGTCTGTTTACACATAAGAGATAGAGATTTTTTTAAAAAGGTATCTTTTATCAGAATGGGAATTTGTGGAGATTGTAGTAATTTAAGTAGTTGAATTCATGAGTCGATCTCAGCTAGACCAGCATTAAAAACATAAAAGCACTGGATGACCGTTACGTCCTAGTATTGGACTCCTCAGTAGTGCGTATCCAATATCCCTCACGCGAGAGGTGAACCCATGATATTCGGTCTCACGCACGAACGCTTAATCTCTAGACCATTGAACTGGTATCTAACGATGTTAATGTCTAACTTCAGTTGATTCATGATCTTTCTCAACCTTTCATATTTTATATGAAATTCATACATTTTAAGCTACTTTAAAAAAAATAGTGGATCACCAGTCAGCTTTATTAAATGTCCAAGAAAATAAACCCACCTTCTAAGTTTGAACTATTTGATCAGTTACGACCTATCTTAAATATTTTCTTAAAAGAAGTTATTTTTGATGACTATAATTACATATTAACATTTACTCCAAGAGTTAATGTAAATATTTACAGTTTAGATGGTTACTTTTTTGTTATGTGTGTTTGTTGAATTCGCTTAGCTGAATGTTTTAGTTGTAAAGTGTAAATCATCGTAATAGAAAATATCGTTCTAAACTTCAATTATACGCGAAATATTTTCTAACTATTCTCCAAATCTCTTATAACTAAACCATCCAGATTAAACAACATAGGACCATCAGCAATATTCATCTGAATCATATATCTTTCCTGTAGTTTCATGAAATGTTATCCCATTAAGTGACGTTTGCCAGAAATAATTTCATGTCTGTTGAATAACTACACTATTGGTATGAAGATCTATATTCTTAGATAATTTTAGTTACCAACTTCATACTTTCGACAAAGAAAACTATTAAAATGAATGAATTTTGAGTGAAGGCTTATGATATAATCGTTATGCCGAGGCAGTTCTCACAAGATAAGTATATGCTGGGTAAGACTGATCAAGATTCTCTTGTGAATCAACAACGGGTTACTTCAAACTACTACTACTATATATATACCAAACAAGTTTATTTAATAAATATATTTCATTAGATATTCAAAACCAGTACCAATATTATCGTTAATATTTTATAAACTCAAAGTGATCTTCGTTTTGAATGTAAAATAATGTTGTTTTCCTGATAGAATACAACGAAATAAACATAAACTGAACCATGACACAAAATGCATTAACTTACTCTTGTTATCTTAATTAAAATGAAGAACAATGTAAGTTATGAACTATGTACAAGTTATATATATATAATCAATTGTGTATCTATTCAATTAGGTCACATTTTGAATCTACAATGTATAAGCATGAGATTTTGTGTAAAATAACCTATGAGCTGAATTGTTTCTTTTCTTAATTACCGAGCTGTACACAAGTATGAACACACGTAGGTGAAAAGACAAATAAACATACATAATTGATTACAAAGCAGTCAACTCTATTTGAGATATGAATAAAAATAAGTACAAAGGTTACAAACAGTAATAATGAAATGTACTACTGCTATTTATCGTGGTGAAAAATCAAAACGTTTACACTTCCTTATCGAAATACACACATTATCATTAGTATTAGTATTAGTATTAATGGATCAGTTAAATAAATATATCTGTAATAAAATCATTGACAATAGGTCAATCTTCTACTAATTAATCAAATAACAACACGTTAGCATAACTTCTTTGTCTTTTTTTAATTGGTATAGATTTTGAGAATAACAAGAAAATCAATGCTAATACAAAGAGCATAGAATAAACAGGTCCATTGAAGTTATAATAAATTTGAAGAGATTGAAACATGGTATGTGAAGATTTCTTGAGAATCATAATGTCATAAACTAACAATTGTCGTCTTTTAGACAGTTTATCACTAATTATTGATGGTTACATCCAACTTGGATGAAATAAGATAATATAACCTCAGGTCAAGATTTCACACAAGACATTTAAGTGAACTGAAGTAAATAATTTACTGTTTTTAGTGTACCTGAGGAATATTTGACATATTAATAATTAAACTGTCTGTTGGATGACTCAAGTAACAACATAAAGACGGTTAATAAGGAATTATTTAGCACCAAAAATAAACCAAAACATAATCTGAACACACTAATTGTGATATAAGTTACGCTGATTGTCAGATTTGTACACCGTAAATTGAGTATTATTCATCATAAATAATTCACAAATTTAATAAATGAACACACCATAAAGTTAAATCAGAAGGGGTCTTTTGTGGAGATTTTAGTAATTTCAATTGTTGAGATCATGAGTCAGTTGGAGCTATACCACCGTGGAATACCTGGAGGCACTAGACGGCTGTTTCGTTCTAGTATGGGACTCCTCAGCAGTGCGCATCCATGGTCCCGCCTCGCGAAATCCAAACCTAGGACCTACTGGTCTTGCTCATGAGCACTTAACCACTAGACCACTGAACTGGCATCCAGTGGTGGTAATGTCTAAAATCAACTAATCCACGGAATTGAGCGACACATCCACCATTGTTATCAGTAAGTTGCTATCTCACAACTGACCCAGTGCTTCCACGTTTTCGATGGTGGTCTATATTCAATTGACTCATGATCTCAACAATTGAAATAAAGTTGAATGTCTATAAGCAACAGATGTGATTAGTTCATCAGGATAAATAATTGCCACCAGCCCCTTACAATACGATTACATGTCAAAAATGCTTGGAAAAAAATTTCATATGTAATTCACATTCCAATCAGTTAAAACTTTGGTCACTATATTAACTATAACAATAATAGACCTTTTATTCAATATCATATGTTTGATTGGAGTCAAGGATTCACTGTGTAAAATATGCAGTACTGTTACAAAATTCTTGATTTTTAAGCAATAAGCTTGTGAATATTTCGAAAATATGAACAAAGCGTTTTTAAAAAGTGGTAAGCTATCGTTTTTTTACATTTATTCGTATACGCTCACAATCACTCATACTCATATGATAATTCTTTTCATAGCCTGATAAATCGAACGCTCAAATTCTACATTAATCGCCTCTCGTTTCTAACATGGATAGAATAAGGGAATTATGAGAGAAATAATCGAATCATAGCTACAGTACTGCCTGGATTTCTCATTACTTAGATTCACGATGGCTTGTAAAGATTTTCTGCAAATAATTAGACCGATAGAAATCAGGTCCAAGTATTCATTTACTACAACATAAAAGATCCCATACTGTTAAGTTATTTAGGCCACTGGAGATGTCAGAATTTTATGAAAAGAAAGTTGATCAGTACTAAATGAAAGGATAAACACAATACTTGTCACTATTGATTGATAGATCAGCATATATTTAAGTTAATAAATAATCAGGGACTTTGAAGCAGCGTTGTTAACAAATGTTTCTATTCATAAATTTGTGGATGTATGTCACATGATAAGTAAGAATGAAAATATACTTCACTGAAAAGTAAATACACGTAATGAAATAATTCTTATTAAATAGAGCAAGAACAAACATTGATGTAGAATAGTATGAATTCATATTATTTCGAGGCAAAATGTCTAACAAAAATTCAATATTACCACTTGTTTGACTAGAAACCATTAAGAATAACAAATAAACTCTTGGAATTTATAGTGGTTGTCTTACATTATTCAGGTTTTTGACACTTTGTACTAATCAGATATGTCTACTATATATATATATATATATATATATATATATATATATATATATATATATATATATATAATGAGCGTACGCATATTCTAACACTCGGATCATTATCTTAAAGCTTTCTAGTCACTGTTGGTTTTCTTATTCATATAGTTGGTTGAGCTTGGATATAGGAAGCCTGTGTACTGGGTGCAGAATTGGAAGAACGTAAAGCCAAAGTGTGATCCTTATCAGCTGAATGTACCTCCAGTTATGTAGATAGATGTCCTTTGAAACTTAAAATTCAACTTTCATTTGTTCAAATATTTGCATGTTAATCATTAGGATACTGAGTTGGTATCGCATCTTTAACTTAAAAGCTTAGATACCGATATCACAACTGTTTCCTAGTCTACTGAGATCTTCTAAATTTTATTTTTATACAGAAACTGAAAAACTGGGTGATCTTGAACTTCTAAAGGCTTCCGGGAGGTGTGCTTAAGTTGTTAAGAGAACCAATAATTGTTCAATCATATATATTTATTTTTATTATATTTTACTGATAATGCAATAAGAAGACGAAGTTTATCAGAATTATGTGATATATTTGCTCCATACATTTTGAACAATCTGATCACATATATACTTGTTAAGACATTTGTTATATGAAAATTGAAAGGTCAACTAGACAAGTTAAAGGTAAGCCGTAAAAAAGAAAACAATAATACTAAAGTACACAAAAACAATGTGATTACCACTCTGGATAATAAATCAGTAATACCAGGGTAGGTTAAGTGTAAGGACAAATTGTTTCTGAACACATAAAGCGGGTTTCAATTTCCGTATAACCAAAGCTTCCATAAACTTTAGTATACGTCCTTGAAGGCTTTCGTATAACACTACAAATGCTGATTTGATCTCAATCAAATGTTTCGCAATGGAGGATGGTGTTTGTCTATCCTGTGATCTTATTTGACCATTAGAATCCATTTGTTTCTGCAACCATTTTTCTTATAAAAATGTCTTAACAAGAATATGTGTGATCAGATTGTTCAAAATGTATGGAGCAAATATATCACATAATTCTGATAATCTTCGCCTTCTCATTGCATCATCGAAATTTATCAAGGGAATTAATTGTTTTAAATCTCTCACTGAGTTGAAAAAATTGTATTTCTAACGTTTGGTGGCTTAATATAAACCTAATCTTCAGAGTAAATAGACTGACTTAAAATTTTTCCAGTCATTAGGATATAACAAAAAATATTTTTATTATAGAGGTTGTTTTAGTGATTACAAAAATGTGTAGACTTAAGAAGAAGGAAACACAATAAAAAGCATAGGAGAATGTTTCATCCCATTTATATTCTTTCTGGACAATGCGTTACAATTCGACGTTAAAGGTATCGGGTTCGAGTCCACATGTAAAAATGGACACTAATGCAAGGAGAATCCTATAACAAATCGCAAACAAAAAGAAATCCAAATCATATACTTCATTGCTAGTTAATATTCAACCTTAGTAATGAAAAACATATAGCAGCTCACGTGCAATTGAGTTTGTTCACATGTAATTTGGTTAAGCCCTTTTGTTAACTTATTTAACGGATAGAGTCATCCGTACAATAACAACTTATCTTATACCATTGTATTTTTATTATTATTGCACCTGTATGAATGTGTATGCTTGAGCACTGCTTACTGCCTACGCATATATTAACTCTGACAGATTTACTATAATTCATTCATTTCATATACATTTCAATCCTGTTCTCCCACTCGCTCCTTCGACTCGCATGCTCACTCGCTTGTCGGCACTACTCTTTCATGCTTGCTTAGCCTATCTGTAATTTTAGTGATCTTCGTATTCACCTTCTGAATAATACACCGTTGGGGTGTTTCCTAGTGACGATTATTAGGACTAACTGTATACGAAGTTTAAGGATTATATTGAATACTGACCACCACAAACATATAGACTTAAGCTAAAATTTATTGTTTAATATAAATACGGTAATTGAAGTTAGTTCAAGACGTAAAACATTTCAGGAGTAGTACTCTGCTTGTGTTTATAGATTTAAACAACGAAACGTTTAGTGTAGGTTTTCATAATATAGATAGTTATAGTATAAAACCTTCCATTATGGCCTGTATTCTAACAAGATGTTTGGAATAGGACTGACATAATTGATATTCTTAACTGATATTATATTCTTGATTATTGTTTACAAAGTAACGTTATCTTTAAGTATAGATAGAATTACAATAAACTAATTATATAATAGTCATTATCTGTTTATGATAAGTGTAAAACTTTCCATATGATATTTATTATTATATATTGAGACTTGTACACTCTAACTGTTTATAATCCACAATGAATTGATCAGTTTTTGATGCTGTACGAACTTTTTAATTATTGAAAGTGATCGGTTATGTTTTGAGTTTATGTATGAATTTTAATAATAGAATGCAGGAGCATCATTGATTTCACTACTAGCTACTATAAATAAAATAATCAACTAACAGAGATTAAGCGAATCGGATCTGACTGTCAACAGTTCAAAACTAGGAATGGTTGAAATTTTGAATTTGCACTTCAAACTAGAAAGTTTAGACAT